ATGGGGAATGATACTGAGACATGGTGGGTGTGAACAGAGAGGGCTGTGTAGGAACAAGCAAGGGGAAGGCAGGAAACCTGAGGAGGGAGAGAGTCAGAGTGAGCGTTCTGGATATAGAGAGGCCACAGCAGCTGACCACATCCCCTTTCCCAGGGGAAGTGTCCCTAAGACCTCTGGGCTATTCCCCCCAGCATCAGCAGGATCAACTCACCCTTGTGTCCTCCAGGCAGTGACCTCTGCATAGTGATAGTGATGGTGATGGGGATGAAGATGATGTTGAGGATGGTGGTGGTGACAGCAGAAAAGATGGAGTTCTTGAGAAGTAGTCAGCCCTCCAGGGGGGACAGGGTCACCAGAGAGACCAATGGCATCAAAGTGAATGTCTGTGTGTGTGATGTGTCAGTGGTCGGTTTTGGGGGTTGAGAGCCAAGGCAGATTTACATAAGAGGTCAGATAACTTGTGATTGGAGACAATACGTCTATGACAGGAGACTCAGCCTGTGACCCTCAGCTTCCTCTCATACTGGAGGGAGGTGTGATGGCCAAGATAGTGTCTCAGATTAACTGGCTCTTGTCCTCTTATATTTATAGACTTGTGTTCAATAAATATTAACTTCCTGGTCTAGATAAATTGAGTATATAGAGCAGTCGATTGCGACAGAAGAAGGTGGCATGGGAGCAAAGAAAAGGGCAGGGTCAAGATAGCATAGTGTGATCGTCGGTGGAGAGCTATGCACAGTGCCAAGTAGAGGGAAGATGGAAGCCTGGTGGGCTGCCACAGGGCTCGGGGCAGGGGGGAGTTACGTATGGTATGCAGGATACAGGTGACATTCATCAGAGTCAGAATGTGACTACTCTGGTCTCAGCTAACACCAAGGACGCTAGGTGTGTCTCTAACACTGACAGCCCTGCAGTCCCCATGCAAAACCCACATGCCACTGTAATGACAGGCCATGTAGGGGCCGTAGGTTAGAGTTTCTCATGGCCACTCTTAATGCTTAGACTCAGATGGCTGTAGTCAGGCCAAGCTGGATCCAACACATTGAGCCTGTCTAATGTTGGTCCACTGGTTCCTCTAGGCATTGGTCTCCTGACTTCCATTTGCCTTTGGGCAACAATCCCTTGGCTCTGAAGTGTTGTGACTCAACTCAGGGACACTGGAATAAGAAACATATTCTCAGAACCCTTGACAGGCTGAGGATTTCTCGTCTACTGATGGTATGGACTGGTTCAGAATGACTGTCAGCAGAACATGCAATTTCCTTCCCTATGCTTTACAGTTCTTGCAGGTTTTGTCTTGCATGGTCCCTCAGATGTCCAGATGGTCTGAGCCATGCCCTTTATCTAGGGTGTTGGCTATGATGGAGTGACCAAGGAACCTTTGGTAGCCATGGCTACCTCTGAAAGGCCTAGAGACCTCTCACAGTTGCCTTGGTTTATTTGTTCCTTTTACATGACACCGGCAACATACACCTGTACAGTCCTTGTTTATCAGCCAAGGATCCCAGGGACACTGCTACAGGAAGGTTTACCTGCCTGCTGGGGCGTGGCCTCATAGACTATTTATCCGGATGCCAAATTGCATCCGGCCCCTTCTCTCCTCCCCTCTGGTTCCCATTTTGATCGTTCAGGTTGTTTTGGATCTCATCTCCATCCACCATTCAAGTAGAGAATCCTGATTTGTAAGTTTTCCCCCTAAATAAATAACTGTCTGTCGCTCAGTTCTGAGTCAGTGTGAGATTTCTTTTAAGCACCTGGTATCTCTGTCTTCAAGACACTCCTGTTAGAGTCAGGTGAATCAGTCAGGTGTTCTCAAGGAGGAAGAAGGCTCGCTTTGACTCCATGGTATTAGTGAAAGAGTTGGGAGAAGCCACTGTAGGAGCTGGGCTTTGGTGAGCTGGATGGAGGAGTGTCCACAGCAATGGTTCTCAGACTTCCTGATGCTGGCTCCTCTTAATACTCTTCCCTCATGTTGTGGCGACTCTAACCATAAAATTATTTTTGTTGTCACCTCATAACTGTTATTTTGCCACTGTTATTTATGAATCATAATGTAAATATCTAGAATTTCCAATGCTCTTAGGTGACCCCTGTGAAAGGGTTATTTGACACCCTCTCCCCGCCCAAAAGAGGTCACAACCCACAGGTTGAGAACCACTGGTCTACAGCATCTGCTGCAGAAAGAGAGGGATAGGTCTATGTACAGGTGTCTCCGTAAATCCCATCTCTACAGAGAGACAGCAGAGAGGGGGCATCTTGAAAATGTCAGTCTCTCTTGGAGGACAAAAGAGAATCTCTTAATCTGTTCGGAACCGAGCACATAACACACAGTGAGGACCAAAGGGTGCTGGAAAATTGTGATCCGCAAAGTCAAAATGCTGGAACTTTATCAAGTTCCATTCACCATGATGTCCATGCCAATGGGTGCAGCCACTGTGGGCATTTCCCTTCTAATGGACATGGTCAGCCTTGTAAAAACTCAAAGCATTTGCAGAGCTGCAGGAGCAGGCTCAGGACCTGTAGCAGAAGTTGCAGGAGCTCATCCAGGCCCATGAGTCTTTGACTCAAGAACCTCTTCTTCTCCACAGCAGTCCAGGGGTCAGGGAAGATGTGCTGGACAGAGGTACGGACAGATGAGAGCCACCAACTGCGTCACTTCACGGCGATGGAACGATGGCAGTAGTCCCTGCTGGGGGAAGAGGCCCTATGGAGAGGTGGAAGCCAGAGCACATAGAGCCCCAGTGGCATCAGGAGTTAGACCCCATCCAGCAGTCAGCATGGGGTCCTGACCCTGGCAGCTTCTACTTGCCAACAAGCACTTGCTGGCTGCAGCTGAAGACAACCTGTTTCCTAGAAAAACCATGAAGGCAAATGACAGGAAACGAATAGGCAGCTGGGGACTGCCCCGCCAAAAGCCCCCTCTCCTTTGCAAAGTCCATTTTTAAAACCCCAAACCAAAAATCAAACAGCAGCCAAACAGACCTTTGGGACCTCTCCTGTTGGGCGGGAGCCTTGATCATCCAGCTGCCAGATTCTAGCAGGACTCTTAAGACACACACAGCACTCTTGCATTGCTGTCTGTGCAACCCGTTCGTCACACTCTAAAACAGATCATGAGCCAGCTTCTGGGGCTGGACACTCTGATGATGGCTCTTATACGTCTCTTTTATTTATTCTTTGGTAATTTCATACATATAGACTATTATATTGATCATATCCATCCCCAACCTCCCACACTCTCCCCAGACACCCACAACGTATGCCCCTTCTACCTTTGTTTCAGTTCTTACCCCCACTGAGTCCAACTGGTGCCCCTTGCTGCTGGCACCTTGACTGATCCAGCTGGCTTGACCAAGTGTGGGTGGCCATGGCTGCAATGAGCTTGCGAGAGCCACAACCCTGCCACACCCAGAAGAGAGCACTTCATGGCTTTCCTCCCCATCCTGCGGCTCTTAAGTTCTTTCCACCCCTCTTCCATGATGTTCCCTGAGCCTTGGCAGGTGTCAGGAGGTGGGAAGGGATACGGACATCTCAACTGGAGCTCAGCACACGACAGTCACTTATTCTTGGCACTTAAGCAGTCAAGAACCTGCATTGCGGCCGGGCGATGGTGGCGCACGCCTTTAATCCCAGCACTCGGGAGGCAGAGGCAGGCGGATCTCTGTGAGTTTGAGACCAGCCTGGTCTACAGAGCTAGTTCCAGGACAGGCTCCAAAGCCACAGAGAAACCCTGTCTCGAAAAACCAAAAAAAAGAAAAAGAAAAAGAAAAAAAAGAACCTGCATTGCTTGCTGCACACTGCAGAGAGAAGCTTCTCTGGCCAAGGGTGAGGCAAGCACTGATCCATGGGTATAGAAAGAAATACTCAGAAGACTGCTTGACAACATGTCCAGTCTCAGCAAGTCAAATGTAGTAGGTCCCCCCTTGTGCCTATGACCTCCTGGCTTTTTAGAAGGCTTACAGGACTGGGCATGAGTTTCCACCTATGAAACAGGCTTTCCTCAAATCCATTGCAAAAGCAGCTGGTTTCTCCCTTAACCTTTAGCCATCACTGCACCAATGGGCACACCTAGCCTGGGATCACTACTAAGAGTATGAGGTTTGCTTCTGGATAAGACCACTGAGGGGTTCTTTCCCAGAAGCCTGCATAGCACCTCCTAACACTATGAAAACTAAGCAGTGTTGAGAAACTGAGATCAAGGACTTCTGTGGAGTCTGTGTGGCCTCCATCTTACCTGAGAGTCCTCCCACAGGGGAGAAGAGTGTTCCAGATGACACACTTCTACAAGCCCCCATCCCCACAGACAAATGAATCCAGCGAGACTCTAGTCTCTCTCCAGTCTCGCCACCACCCCCTCCTGTGTTGGGTCAGTCATTCACTCTTTAAAGCATGAAAGGCTTGTTTCTACTCATGGTTTAGCAATTCCAATCCACAGTTAGCTGGCTCCATTGCTTTTCAGTCTTTGATAGAAACTTCATGGCACAGGGGCATGACAGAGGGAAAGTGATCACCATAGGGCAGTCAGGAAGCATAGGGGACCAACATGAAAGAGCCAGAACCAAGATAACCCTTCAGGAGCATGCCCCAGCTCTAAGAGCATCCCCCAGCTCTCGGTGCATGTCCCAGCTCTAAGTACATGTTCCAGTTCTAAGTGCATGTCCCAGCTCTAAGTGCATGTCTTAGTTCTCAGTGCATGCCCCAGCTCTCAGTGCATGCCCCAGCTATAAGTGCATGCCCCAGCTCTCAGTGCATGCCTCAGCTCTCAGTGCATGCCCCAGCTCTCAGTGCATGCCCCAGCTCTCAGTGCATGCCTCAGCTCTCAGTGCATGCCCCAGCTCTCAGTGCATGCCCCAGCTCTAAGAGCATGTCCCAGTTCTAAGTGCATGTCTCAGCTCTCAGTGCATGCCCCAGCTATAAGTGCATGCCTCAGCTCTCAGTGCATGCCTCAGCTCTCAGTGCATGCCCCAGCTCTCAGTGCATGCCCCAGCACTGCTTTGGGAGAGGAAGCCTGCTACTGAGTTGATCCTGACTGCAAACTCTCATGGATCTGGATGAGCACCTCCAATTTCTTCTCCAGCTCCCGAGCCTGCTGCCTCAACTCCTCAGCCGACTGTGCCTTTGCGCCCTTGTGCAAATGTTTGGATTCTTTCACAAGGCCGATCACATCCCCAACGAGGGCCACACCTATGGTGGCTGCATTCATGACCCAGGCTCTTCTGCTCATGACCAGGGCACTGCCCCTAAAGGCGTTCTTCACCTGCTTCCCACTTTGGGCAGAGATGCTCCCCATGGTCAAGAGGCGCTTGGCACTGCTTGCTAAGGCAGGGTTGGCTTTGGTGAGCTTGATGGCGTTGATGTTCCGTTGAAGGCATTGCAGGACTCGGCAGCAATTCTCAGATAACTTATAGACTCGGGGCCCTGAATGAACCACGGCCTCTGCAACCATCTTCACTGTGTCCATGCTGCTTGACACCAGGTGGCTGGCTCTCATTTTGGCCGACGACTCACTTGTGTGGTCCACGATACCAGTAGAGACACTAGTCACGGCCGCTGCTGCTCCCAGGCCCATCCCCGTTGCCAAGAGCACCAGACTGGCCCCAGCTGTCACAGGTACCAGAGCGAGGCCAAGGAGGGTCAGGACCCCAGAGACAGTGCTGGTGGAGCCAGCCACCACCTTGGAGATGGTACAGTCCCTGTGAACCTTGTCAACCCTGTCTGCAAGGGCCTGGAGCGTCCTGATGTGTTCCTTGAGTTCCAGTTTCACCTGAGGAAACTTTTCCACAAACTTCTCCGTGTCCTGCAGCTCATGCTGGAGCCTGTCTTGGTCTTCCTCAGCCATGTTTGCTGTGAGGTCATTGAGAGCATCACGCAGTGCGTCTGCATCAGCTCTGTAACAGGCATCGAGAGAGAGTTTAGCTGTGGGTTTAGGTCAAGGCTGGACTGCCGGTCTAATATGCACGGGGCCTGGGTTCCATGCCCAGTACTACAAACAAACAAACACATACATATATACATATATACATACATACATACATACATACATACATACATACATAGAACAAGCCAGGTGGTGCACACCTTTAATCCCAGCTCTTGCGAGGCAGAGGCAAGTGGATCTCTGTGTCAAGGCCAGCCTGGTCCACAGAGCGAGTTCCAGGACAGGCTCTAAAGCTACAGAGAAACCTTGTCTCAAAAAAACCATAGATAGATAGACAGACAGACAGAAAGACAGACAGACAGATGGTTTGTTATAGGCTCCATAGCACATGACCTGTGCAAATGAGAACATGCTTTCTGTAGCTCAGGAGGGATTTTATGGACATGCAGAATCTTTCTTTTGCTGTTGAACACTTGGTAATCGAAAATGGCCCTTCATCCATTAGAGGATAGTGAGTAAAGGCCATGTTGAGGTGCTCTTCAGGAGGTGCTGGAGAATCGGCTCTGCAGTTAAAACTGCTTGTTGAACTTGTACTGGGCTGGGATTTAAATCTCAGCACTCACATCAAAAGGCTCTCAGGCGCTCTAACTCCAAATCCAAAGGCTCTGCTGACCTCTTGTGGCTTCCAGGGGAATGTGCATGTACACACTCACGCAGATAAATAAAGAGTAAATAAATTGCCAGACATGGTGGCACATGCCCTTAATCCCAGCACTCAGGAGGTAGAGACGGGCAGATCTCTGTGAGTCTGAGGCCAGACTCTACAGAGTGAGTTCCAGGACAGCCAGAACTATATAGAGAGATCTCAAAAATAAATAAATAATATAAATTTTGTTGGTTTGTTTAAGATGCTCTTGTGGCTAGAGAGATGACTGAGCAGCTAAGAGCACTGTCTGCTCTTCCAGAGTACCCAGGTTTGATTCCCAGCAGCCACATGGGAGCACACAACTGCCTGTTCTAAAGGTTCCAAGGTCGTCTTCTGGCCTCAGGGGGCACCAGGCACACACATATACATTCAGGCAAAGACTCATACATATAAAACAGAAATAAGTCTTTTTAAAATTTAAACCTTTTAAAAAATATTCTTTAGGGGTTGGGGACTAGCACTGTAGGCAAAATGTCTGCCTAGCATGAGTGAGGCTGGGGTCTAGTACTGTATAAAACCGGGTATGATGTTACAAGTCAGTAGTATCAGTACTTGGGAGGTAGAGGCAGGAAGATCAGATGTTCAAGGTCATCTTTGTTATGTCTGAGTTCAAGGCCAATGTGGGCTACCTAAGACCTTGTTTAAAAAGATTCTCTTGGTGTCAGGTGTTTGACGAGGATGCTTCTTACTCAAGGGTAACACTGTAGTCATCAACACATGTCAGGGGCGGGGGAGAACGCTGCTCATGGACACAGGGAGGCGAGATTGGAACATAAGTCACCCTTAATTCATGGAATCTTTGCTAGGGTGTTGTGAATTGCCTCCCTTTCGCCCTCAGCCACTGAGACGTAAGCAGGAGGCTGGGCCATCTGGGTCATGTTCTGCCTGCTGGGACCGTCTGCATCTGGCTGGGACTTTGGCAGAAAGCTCATTCGAACTGAGCAACCCTGACTGACTATTCTAAGTGTGAATGGCTTCAAAATGATCCCACAGTGGACAGGTCACACTCAAACACAAGCGTGCTAACAAGAGCATAGGAAGTTAAGATGTTTGCTAGGTGTAAAAAATATAGAAGTGTGTTTCATGTTGAGACTTGGATCTCATTCCTATGATGGATCACAGTTGAAAATATTTTAAAATCAGGAAAATTCAGGATCCAAACCACTGTATAGGGTGCTCAGTCTTAACCAGGCAGAATGTGGTGGGGGCTTTAGTGTCATTTCTGACCTCCAGGGAACTGGAGACTAAAGGCATTGACCTCCAGGAGAATGAACGATCCCAGGTCAGCCTTGAAGATGGTGTATAGTCTAGCCTTTTGATGCTCTCAAGTTCCCAGAGAGACAATGGGACACCCACACAGCCCAGTTCTGGGTACATCCATGAGGGTGTTCTGGAGACAATTAGCATGTGAACAAGGACACTGAGTGGGGAAGGCACTGGTGAATGAGGCACCATCCAAAGGCAGGGAAGAGAAACCAAAAAGGGGGGAGTGCCCAACCGCAGGTGACCTGGACAACTCAGCCTCAGCCACGAAGGCCTCCCAGGCTCCATCTTCAGTCAGCAGCAGCCGCAGATCTCCCCTCCCTGACGAGCGCTGAAGGTACTCGGTGGTTTCCTCGATGAAGTTTTTGCTCCCTAGTTGGAAAGGAAAGTGAGGTTGGAGCACAGAAAGGAAGTGCTGGAGCAACGGTATCCACAGAGTCAGCTTCCCAGACTGTCCTGGTCCCACCTGAGGAGGCAGGACAGGGAGGAGGTGAGTTCCGCCTATACACCCCAGGAGAGTTCCTGTAGTTCCCCCTTGGGTCTCCCCTTCTCTGTTCTCAACTCCTCTGCACTCAGGAATGGCGGTCTAGGCCACAGAGGAGAAGAAGCCAGAGGAACGCAAATACCTGGGGAGCCCTCGCGGGGTGGCGGGTCCATGGTGTCCACTGCAGGGTCTCGGGTCCGAGCTGCGAGGAGAAAGCACACCATGCCATGGAAGGGGAACAACTGCTGAGAAAGCAGGCAACTAGAGACTGGGTCCCTCAGGTCCCTCCACAGGGTCTGGCAAGGATCAGACTTTACCCAGAGTGTTTCTCTTCCATGGACTTTGCAAGAAACCAGCCAGCCGTATGGCTCTAACTGCCCACCCCTGCGCCAGACAAGGCAAAGGCCTCCTGCTCTGGTAGGATCAGTGGATGAGGAACCTGGGGGAGGGAACTGCATTTGGACACAGAAGGCAAGAGGAGGGGAGATGCTCTGGCAGCTACCCAAGAGGAGGAGCACATGTGTGAACTAATGATAGAGACCGACATTTACTGTCCGGGACACACGGGGATCCTTAGACATCCACTGCACACGTGCCAAGAGATGAGGGGCACTGTGGCCCCGTGTTAGAGCTAGCCCACGAACCCAAACCATTCTGAGCCATGCCCTACCCTCTGGCGACTAAGCTTGGGTCCCTTAACTATTCAGCAGGGTCCTCCTACCCATGCGCGGTATATTACGAACAGCTTCCCACCCACAGCAATGCCTATGCCCTGCAGGGGGGCAGATTCACCAGAGCCCCTGGGATCTCCCAAGGGTCATGTCTCACTCCTCAGGATCCTGCATCCAAGCTGGCCCTAGACTCCTGCCACATCCTGTCTGTTCTGTACCTGTTCTCGGCTGCCCAAACCCACCTGCCATCCTCTCTAATCACTGGACCTCATATCATATCCAACCCTCTACGTGAACAATAGTGCCAAGGACGTGTTCCTCGCATAGTACTTTGCCGCCAGTTCAGAATATTTCCCTAAGATCTACTGAGAGGGCTGGCAAGATGGCACCGCAGACAAGGGCGCTTGCAGCTAAAGCTGATGAAGAGAGTTCAAGCCCAGGTCCCACATACTGAAAAGAGGGGGCTGGCTCCCACAAGTTGTCCTCTGGCTTCCGCACACATGTAAGAGTGTGTGTGTGTGTGTGTGTGTGTGTGTGTGTGTGTGTGTGAACTTGAAAAATAAATCTAGGCTGGTGTGGTGGTGCACACTTTTAATCCCAGCACTCTAGAGGCCAATCTCTGTACAATTTAAAGCTAGCCTGGTCTCCATAGCAAATGCCAGGTCAGCAGGGCTACACAGTGAGACCCTATTTCTAAAAACAAAACCAAAACAAAACTAAAACTAAAAAAATGAAAAACAAAAAACTTTTAAAAAAAGTAAAAAGAAACTGACTTCCTACGCAGAAAACATTAAAACATTAAAAGCAGTTCCATTCCTCTGGGATGGAGTACTCAGTAAAACTCATTTCTTACGGTATTTTCCAGGCACACAGAGGCCTAGCAGAAACAGTGACAGGCCTGCAGATGTCCCCTGAGTAACCAGATGAGATGAAACGGCACCTTCCTTCACAGTGTGACTGTCTCTTTGCTACCTTCATCTTCAGACTTGAACCTGCTCGGCTGGGCACACACACGGGGTGCACTGAGGCCCGTTTGGTCCAGCACTCCATTACAAGGGTAACTTCCACAGGGTTCATTTAACCAAGGCTTGCCTAGCTCCCCAACCTCTTCAGAGCCCAGTCAAGGCAACTAGCAGACACCACAACAGAGAACCCCAGTTTGTGCAAGAAGCAACCAAATGAGGAGGCCCCAGAGTTCCTGAAGTCTTTCAGCCTGTTCTCTGGGGGTGGATTAATATTCTTTCCCTTCGTGACCAGATAAAGTTCTCTCTGTTATGGCACTCTTTTTTGTGACTATTCGCTCCCCAACCAAGGCAGAGAAGCTGATACGCAAGGAAAGCCCCCATTCTCCATCTCTGTCCCCTCGGTAAATCTCTGAACTGACCTGGTCGTGGACCGCAGCTGGGTATTGTGGGCACAGTGGATCTCTTGAAGGGGCCTGTGGCTCAGTTTGGATGGCTGTTCCAGGAAGGGCAGAGGCCACACTGAGGGAAGTGGAGCCTGTGTCAGCCCTGCCCTGCTCCTGGCCAGCTGTGCGGCCCTGATAGGAGCCTTCTTTTCCCCCAGCTGTGGCCTGAGCAGAGTTCAGCAACTCCTCCCCTGGCCAGGGAGTTAGGGAAAGGAGTGAAGACAGTTTGCTCCCTCTAAGGAGTCCTCAGTGACCTCTTGGGGTCAAGGTGAAGCCCTTTCAGTCAGCACACTAGTCTTCCAACCTGCTGCGGCCCCTCCCTCCTTCCCCCCCCCCATTCCCTGCTTCAAGGCCATCCTGACTCAGCCCTCCCCCCCCCGCCCCACAGTGAAACGCTTCCTTTCTGTTCTTCCTCCTCCCTCACTCTCCCACAGTCTCCATGGCAACCTGACTCCCAACGCCTGCTGTCTCCTGCTCCCACTGGAGAGACTCCCAACCCATCCCGCTGATGGGCAGTGGCCTCCGGGGGTCAGCAGCACAGGTGCTCTGTCCATCAGGTGAGAACACAAGCTCTTGATGGGCAAGGTGGAGGCCAACACTGACCCTTTCACTCTGAGACTGAAGCTCCCAGCGTGACCATTAAAAGCCACATTAGTGGCATAAACCTAGAATTCCAGCACTCGGGGAGCTGAGACAAAAACACGATGAATTTAAAGGCAGACTAATGGGGTGCCCCAGGCCTGTCTGGGGTTCCTGGGGAGTTGCCGTCTCAAAAAATAAGAAAGCAATCCAAGTTCTGAGGTTAGCCTGTGCCTCTTTACATTCGGTCTCTCTCCACACCCAGCAATGTTATGTTGACAGAGCTGGGATGGCTCTTTGGATAACAGTTGGCAATGTGCCCCTTCTCGGTCCCCACACCTATCCCGACACCCATGACAGCGCCAGCTTTCGGCCTCTATCACCCACAGCCTGACACCAGGAGTCAGAGGAGATGCAGGGCTGTGTCCCGCTAACCAGTCTGGACCCCTTGGCAAATCACCTGGGCCTTCAGTTTCCCCCACAGGATATGAACCAGAATAGATGCTCAAAGGAGGACTGGATAAGAGCCCTCTGGGCCTCTTGTATCTCAGGATCCAGACTTTGTTCCCACCAGAGGAGCAGGGGTGGAGTCAAGATGCCAGCTTTTATAGACAGGTATTCTAACACTGTGGCTCTTGAGAGCCCCCTTTCTGCTTATGGGTATTTTGGGTCATTTCTTTTTTCTGAATTTCCCTTCCATCAAGTCTTTACCAGGATTGACATTAATTAATTCAGCAGCCAGACGAAACTACTGCAAGAGGCAGAACCAGGTAAATCAAGTCTGCAATGATGGGGACCCTCTGATCGGAGTGTGGAATAGACCAGAACAGGTCTCTCGAGCATTCTTGGGTGGAGTAGCCTGGACTGGGTGGCACTTACTTGGCGGGATAGGGCATGGATGTCTTGAAGCCCAGAAACTCACGGACACCTGCAGATCTACGACACAACAACTCTACTGCTGCCATCCAAAGCCGTCTCCCAGAATGTCTGCCCACAGCATAGGGCTTGGTGTCTCAGCCCAAATCTTTGGCAATTACTGCCACCGGGATCCTAATGCAAAGGAAACAGCCCTAAAACTATAGCACAAGAATCGGGTGGTAATGGTGCACACCTTTAATCCCAGGACTCGGGACACCGTGCCAGGCGGATCTCTGTGAGTTCGAGGCCAGCCTGGTCTACAAGAGCTAGTTCCAGGACCCCCAGAGCTACACAGTGAGATCCTATCTGGAAAACCAAAAAGAAAGAGAGAAAGGAAGAGAGAGAGAGAGAGAGAGAGAGAGAGAGAGAGAGAGAGAGAGAGAGAGAGAGGAGAGAGAGAGAGAGAGAGAGAGAGAGAAGAGAGAGAGAGAGAGAGAGAGAGAAGGAAAGAAAGAAAGAAAGAAAGAAAGAAAGAAAGAAAGAAAGAAAGAAAGAAAGAAAGAAAGAAAGAGAGAAAACCTGCAGAGTGAGTCAGGCAGAGAGCCAGCTCCACCTAGTGGACGGTACAGGAATCAGCAGTCAAATGAACCTGGCCACCATGGTTACTTTGATCCCAGCAAACACTGGCGAGGACAAACTGATCACTACACTGGATACCCCAGAACAGGCAACCCTGGATGATGGCCTTGGAAAGGAAAGGGCAGTCATTGCTCCCAGCCACTGCAGCCTGGCCACCAGTGTCGTTCAGAGGATTATCCTGTCTTTGCTCAGAAGGGACATTCTAGCTCCAAATGTGTCAGCTTCAAGGTTGAGAACGAACTATAAAGATGACAGGATCTAAACCATGTGTGGTGGTTTGAAGAAAATGGCCCCCAAAGGGAGTAGCACTATTTGGAGGTGTGGCCTTTTTGGAGGAGGTATGGCTTTGTTGAAAGAAGTGTGTCACTTTGGACGTGAGCATTGAGGTCTCCTATACTTAAGCCACACCCACTGTTACAGTTGACTTCCTGTGGATCAAGATGGAGAACTCTCAGCTCCTTCGCCAGCACCATGTCTGCCTGCGATCCACCATGTTTCCTGCCATGATGATAATGGACTAGACCTCTGAACTGTAAGCCAGCCCCAAGGAAATGCTTTCCTAAGAATCATCATGGTCATGTTCTCTTCGCAGCAGCAGAAACCCTGACGCCGTGATTCCCATGGAACGCTGCCCTCTGCCCTCAGTTTGGTGCACATGGAACCATCAGGGGCATCAGGCACATTTGCTGCATCAACACAGCAGCTCTGGGATTCTGATTTCAAACAGGATGAGTAACGGACCCAAGGGGCCAGAGTTCCGGAGTTCGCCTCGAGACTCTGCCGTGTGCTGAAGATAGTGCTTTAACCAGAGAGGATCCAGCTTCAAGCTCGGCAGATTCCTGAGTGTGGAGGAGGGGGCACTCCACTAGGCAGCTCTGCAGTGTGTGTCCAGGGCTCCATCATGCTCCTCAATCACCAAGGAACATTGGCTGATGTCACTGTCGTGCCTTGAAATCTACAGCACCTGATCGCTATAACCAGAACGGAGGCTGCAGTGGGATTTGGCAGGGCCCGGAAACTGCGAATCTGGGATTACTTGTGTGGGCCTTAGATCTAATGCCGAGTGTCCATTCAAGAGACACAGAGGGGCTGGAGAGATAATTCAGCAGTTAAGAGCACTGGCTGCTCTTCCAGGTCTGGAGTTCTATTCCCAGCAACCACATGCTGGCCCACAACCATTTACAGTGGGATCTGATTCCCTCTTCTGGCATGAAGTTGTACATGCATATAGAGCACACATACATAAAACAAAACTCTATTTAAAATGTTTTGAAAAAGAAAGAGCACAAGCTGGGAAGATGGCTCAGTGAGTAAAAGCCCTTGCTGCAAATGACAGCCTGCGTTTGATCCCTTGGACTCTACTCCCTCCAAGCGTGCATGTGCGACACACACACACACACACACACACACACACACACACACACAGAGAGTATATTTTAAATTTTCAGGGGCTGGAGAGATGGCTCCACGGCTTAGAGTACTTGTCTTGCAGAGGCCCTGGCATTCAACTCCTAGTACCAACATGGTGGCACACAACCACGTGACTCCAGCGTGTTGGGGGGGATCTGATGCCCTCTTCTGACCACCGTGGCACCAGGCATACACGCAGACAAGGATAAGTGCATATTGAGAATGTTTCAATCTTTAAAAAAATTTAAAGCCAAAGGGAGGAGGCTGTGTTTAAACAAAACACACTCTGGCGGCCGCGACAAGCCATGGAACACACAGACCCACCAGATTCTCCCTCAGCTTGGAACTTTACAGCAGCTCTCTCTGTTGTAAGCCATCTGGCATGTGGTGATGCTACAGTTACCCTAGGAAAGGAAGAACCAGCACGGGCTGGTGTGTAGGTAGGGCTTTCCGCTCATTTTACTCGGAAGTGGAAATGAAGCATCCACAGGGTTTGAGCAAGGATTCCCATCTCCATCGTCCAGACTGGAGAGACACCCCTGCGGGTCCACACCAGGCTTTCCGAGCTTGGCATGCACTTGAATCCCCTGGCGAGCTGGTGGCTCCCGAGTCCAGACTGAGGCAGCAGTGGGTCTGCAGTGATTGTAGGAATGTACACCATGACAAGCCTGGAGATGGCTCGGAGGTTAGGAACACAGCTGCCTTGAATTCCAGTTCCAGGGAATCTGGTGCCCTCTTCTGACCTCCACGGGGACCAGGTACACACATGGAGGAGACACATGTAGACAAAATACTCATACTATAAAAAGACTTTTGAAAAAAAAGACCACCAACTCTGGCAGCTGGCGTATTGGCCAGGCTTGGGCTCCACACAGACGCTGGCTGTGGCCAGCTCTTGCCCAAAAGATTCCTTCACAAAACCTGACAAGAAAAATCAACACTCAACTCGAGTCAAGGGCTGGAGGTCAGACCTTGCTAACAAGCACAGGGACGTAGACTCCAAGTCCCAGGCTGCAAATCAACTCAGATAACAAGGAGATACACTAAGCTGTGAAGAGCCACACTTAGGAACGAGCAGGGAACCCCCATGTAAATCCAGCAGGATCCAGGCTGCTCTGGGGGCGTGGCCTCCTCTCCTCTTCCCATTGATGGAGTCTTGTCTCCAAGCCTTCTGGTTTCTCCACAGCACCGTGCTGGTCTAGGACACATTCTGAACCCTTTCTTTCCTGGAGCATGGGCTTCACCCCCTACTGTTACTGTGGGGTGTTTGCCCTGCACACAGCGCCGCCCTCCTTGGAGACTGCTGTCTCTAGACCTGCAGCACCTCACTCCCAGTGTGATAACTCCCTCCTAGGAGAGAAAAGAGACCCAGCTTGTGGGAAGAGAGGCAAACCTGAATGAGCCCTGGGCCCATGGCAGCTCAGCCTCTGCCTGCATGGAGGGTGGAGCCTCTTAATTTCTCAGGCTGTAAGCCCCTGGGGCTGCCTGAGATTTCTCAGAGCCCTCTCAGCCTAACCACAAAGCCAAGTGCAGTCTCTCGGGACAGCTGGGACAGCCCTGCCGGGCCACCTTCTGCTGTGGACAGACACCCAGACACGACAGAGTAGGACACGGTACTCTTTATTGTGACGCTCAGTGGGAACACCTGTAAACCAGCGTACTGTAGTGGCAGCTGCGACACATGCTAAGGCACTTTTATTATATAAAAAAAGGGGGTGCGAGTCCCACTCACTCCTTTGCGACAGCAACTGGGACCTGAGCTCAGAGCTTTTCCGGCATATATAGCTTCATGATTTGACTTTGTTTAGTTTGGGTTTTGTTTTTTTTTTCCCTTTAAAAAAAAAAAAAAAAGCCTTCTTGCCATGAGGGAGTCTGAACGCAGCATTTACAAAACAGTGAGGCGCACAGGAAAACTCAGCAACCAGTGTAGACCATTGTAGGACAGGCTACTCTCTTCTAAACACGGTTCCAGAGGAAAGGCAGTGAAAACACCCAGAACTTACTTCAAGAAAGGAAAAAAGAAAAACCTTTTTTTTTTCTTTCAAAAACATCCATGTAGAAGGCAGACCTGAAGCTATAGCGTCGGCGGTGCAGCTCAGCCACCCTTGGCCCCGATCCTAGGAGAGGCACAAGAGCATACACGGGGCCCCAGCTCTTGGATATTCTGGCTGCCGGGCCTGCAAGTCCCTTAACCATTAAATACATTTGGTCCCCTAGAGTGCTGGGAGAAGCCACCCGAAGGTTGTTGGCCTTTTCAGTGTGGCCCTGATGCCCTGTCTGGCTGCCCCGGTGCCAGGACAGTCTGCCCTCGGCAAGGGAGGGGAGGGGCATTGCACTTGAGACATTTTACAATCGGAAGGAGCAGAGGCCCCCGTGCTACCCAGGAGGGAGTGGGGGAAACTCTCCGAGTGCCCCCTGTTCTGCACCCAGCACAGAGGTGGAAGCCCT